AATTAACATAATCTAATTTCATAAACAGGGCCGCAGTAGAGAAAAATGTGTTTTTTTTTTCCAAAAAACTTTAGTCTTAAGTTATTAAAGGTCGCCAACATGGTTCTCGGTAAGAACATTTGAAATGTCCAATACCGCCATGCTTTGATAGTTTTCTTTCTTTATTGTATTTTGTTAAAATAAAACCTTGTAAAAAAAAATACTACTATCGGTAAAAAAAAATTGGGTGGATTTAATCCAGTGACTTCAACCAACACTTTTATCCACTGGCCCATGGACAACCCCGACAACAGAGGTGAACAAAACTTGAAAAATTAAGTTACTAAAGGGAAATAACTGAAACTGAGATATCTAGAAAAGGCATGGCACGTGGAACTAGAACAATCTGCCCCGGAGGACGAAATAAAGGGTTTGGTCCGAAATTCTACCATATATCATCTCAAGAAGACCGGAGCGTACAACGGCCGAAACATCGTGAATATGACAATAAAGATGAGGACAACCGCCCGAACAATGTAAATAAATGTTATCATATAAATATTAGCAGACTTGAGTTGTGCTTACAGTATCAGTTACCCATAATTTGTCCGTATAGGAGGGCCAATGCCAATTTTGATCTGGGCAGATTATGCGGAGTCCGAGTAGAATAACGGTTATCGGCGCGAAAAGTGAAATTGACCAGCCAATTTCTGGTCGACTCTGTTGGACAGATCGTCTGGGAAAATCCTTGTTGCCTCACTTTTGGTATCGATTAAACAGGAATCTAAGAGAAGATATCAAATATTTGTTTATAACGAGTCTTAGTCTGTGGACACCTCGACGTGGTTTAATGGTTAGAAAGCTTATCTTGCTAGATCAATTACGACTGAGTAGTGAGTTCGATCCTTACTGAGTACCCCATACTTTCGGCCTTGTGCCACATCTAAGCCGGGGTTAGAAAATCACTATACCGAGTCTTAGTACATCTGCCAAACAGATTCATAATTAAAACAATTTTATAATTTCAACGGGCAATAAAGATCTATTCTAGATAAATAAAAATTAATCAAATTTAAAATTTTCAAGAAGTAAACAGACGAAGCATTTTTACAAAGAAAATATTTATTTTCCAACAATCAAAATCTTAATATTTTCCCTTTTTTTTATTTTGCGTCCATCTTACTTCTTTGAATATTTTCGCTAATTAATAATTTTAGATTTGGTCTTTTTAGAAAAACGTCTATGTAAAACAAAAATGGTTTCGGGGAGATAACTCTGCCTGACCCAAAGGCTAGTTAGAGACGTTTATGGAAAAGCAACAAGACCTAGACTTACAAATGAAAAATAATCCAATTTGTTTTTAAATGTTTATTAAACTTTAATATAGAAATTTCTTTTAAGTATGTGTGTGCCGAAAGTTTTATTTAAAAATAATGAATTCAATAGTTTCATCAACAGAATTCAATAAATCTTTTAACAAAGGCTGCCTCATTACTGTTTCAATCTAACATGAATTAAAGTCACGGAAGTAATTTTTAATCATTAAGTTTGAATGATTTTTACAAATAATATAAAATAAGATAATATAAAAGAAATTAATCAATTCGCTATTTTTGTTTGGTAGAAAATTTCCCCTTTTCATAGCAAGTATCCATGCATCTGAAATCCTAATCTTTTGGAAATGAAAATACATTCACTTTTTGGTTCACTTTGAAAATTTCCTTTTCATTTTGGGACAGCACAAAAAACATACGGTATTTTTTTTTCTTGTAAATTATTTCAGTGAAAATATTTGAAAAAAAATAATACAAAATCAAGCTGAGTCAAGAAAACTCAAAAAATTAAAAACTAATGAAAGTGTTTAACCTACATACAGTGACGTCAGCACATTAGCCCCGCCCATCGAACCGGGCCTTCTATTTTGGTTGGTAATAATAATCAACAACAAAAACAATATTTTTTTATTTACTTATTCATTTTTATTGTCTAGAACAAATAAATCAACAAAAAGTATATTCGCTTCAACATACACGGATAGAAAATAAAATTGTAACATCATGAAGGACATTACCGATTTTGATTTGAATACAGTATCTGTGGAGTTGAAGTACCAATTTTGCAATTAAAATTTAATTTCTCGAAATTTCATGAAATTAAGTAAGTGGGAGTTAATATATGTAAAAAAAAACCCAAAAAAACCAAAAAAAAAAACAAAAAAAAAACAATTTTACCAAAATTTTTTTTAAATTTCCAAAATAATTTCATTCATTTGTGAATAAATCCCGAATGTTTCATTAAAATCCGATAATTATTTGAGTTTTTCAAATTTCCAAATCAATGTGTTTTTACCGGAAAAAGGCAGTAAAACACCAATAGTAAATATTAGGCCGACAGCTGACACACACACAAAAAAAGATAGATTTTTAACCAAAATTTTGAACGTGCTAGAAAGGATTAAAAAATTTAATAAAAAAATATTTTGGTCTTCTTCATAATAACATAAAAATGTTGGCGATAAAACTTTGTTTTTATTAATTTTTTGGCTTTTTTCATGCTATTGTGTTTTTTGTTTTTTTTTTTTTTTTCAGGGAATTAGTGGAGGTGCCTATCTAAAAGTCAAACGGTTTTAGCATCGAAAATAGAATTGCTAAGTTCAAATTCTGACTTAATCTGTTGCGTTTACTTTCGCACTAATGCCTTTTGAAAAGGCATGAAACATACTCATCTCCCTCCAGGTATATGTTAAATAGCTTTGGGTGGCAAAGAATCTTAGAAACAGAATCGAATATTTATTTATAACGAGTCTTAGTGGATCTGACAAACAGATTTAATGTAATGATTTTTTTTTCAACGAATAAGATATATCCAATAGATAAAAAAAAAATAAGTTAATAGACGACACATTTTTTTAATAAAATTGTCATATAGGAAGAAAATGAGTAACTAACGACATTGAGGTTCGAACGTGAAACTCTGGACTTATGAATATATGTTTTCTGCCAGATGTATAAATAGCGGTGTCAGGCTACTGATTGGAGTGATTATTGAGTGATTATTGAGCGGAACTATCCAGTCAAATTAGCGTAAATTATTGTGCGTCGGTGATTTGGGTTTTGATTTAAGATTTACCGGACGTTAAGCCGAGCTACGCTACTAACAAACTATTCACTGAAATGGTTAATTTAATTATCTTTAGTTGACTTTTACTTCTTTGTTCTTGTTATTGTTAAGTATTTATTTGCGGTTGTAATTAAATACTGTTTTATGTTGACATTGAAGTTTTGAGTTATACTTTAACTTAATTATTAACGGCCACCTTACGTCACAAAAAAAGTAAATAAATATTTATTTGTCAAAAAGCAAAAAAATTAATATTTCTTGTTCACTGTTCACTATTGCATCTTCCGTTTTTTTTTTTCCTTTTCCATATATCTCGCTTTTTTTTGTTTCGCATTTTAATAATTGTAGATTTGGTCTTTTAAGACAATCGCATATTTTCTTTTATTACTAAACGTTAGATTTAGTGTTTACACGTGTTTGAGTAGACATTGATATTCTTTTTAACAGCGTAATTTTCGTCTACCACTCTGGGATCTCGAGTGTCTTTTTTTAAAAAAAAAGCTGTCACTAGTTAGTAAAACCTAGGCCATTAGAGGGAGACGATTAAGCCGTTTAAAATAAACACGTATGTACGACTAAAGATGTGCATTTAGCAAATATAACGTTTATAATAAGAAGAACTAATGTTAATTTATTTATCAAAACCCATGAATTCTTTGTTTACATTTCTGTCGAGAATATAAAATCGTATATACGTGAAACAAAAATGGTTCCGGGGAGATAACTCTGTTTGACCTAAGCGTTAAATTTTCTCCAGTCGGTCAGGATGCGAAGTGGAGAATCTTATTACTGATGACAACGGCGATTATGATGATGATGCATCATCATCATAATCGCCGTTGTCATCCTGGTTTATTATCTATTTATTCATTAATTTTTATTTATATTTTTCCGCTGATGACTGTTCAAACCAATGAGTAACTGATGGCTTACATAGGGGATTAAGTGACAACAAGTCACCTCAATTCTTCAACGCTCTTTTTAGTTGCCTTACCGTTTTCACTTGAATGCTGTTATCTAGTTAGTCCCGACACTTCCTCTGATTTCCCGTTTCTCCAGGCAGTTTCACAAAGTTCTCTGGCAGTTCCCTGTGCTCCGGTAACGAGTGGCACCACTGTCACCTTCATGTTTCATACCTTCTTAAACTTCCTGGCAAAGTCAAGATATTCCCGATCTTTTTAGCAGGAGGAGAGTTTTATTCCTTGTTTCCTCTTTAGGATTGGATTTCCGGTTCCCTCTAAAGTTATTTCCTTCTCTTTCACTTCTGGTTCGCTCTTGTGTCTTGGTGGCATTACCACTTTGTTTGGAGAGGTACCTCTTACTCTGTAGCATTTACCCCGAGTGGATCTTGGGCTTTGTGCAGGGTGAAAATCATTGTGTGTTTTATCTCTCTTTTCCTTTCTAGATCTGTTTGACTATCAGCTCTGGATCAGCGGAATCCACTATGTTACAAAAAATTTGGATTCCCAAGTTTTCAAATGGAGATAAATAAATAAATAGATATTTACAATAGTCTAGGTTTGTCTTTTACACTTGCTTTTAAGAGAAGTGTTTTTAAAAAAAAGTTAAAGGAAAGCCAGACGATTATATATATATAACTAATTTGATGTGAAACATTTTAAACTTTCTAAAAATAGAATGGCTCGAAAAAGAAAATAATTCGATCAAAAGTTTTAATTTTCACTCCACCTTTGGATTTTATGACCAATCAAAAAGGTGACTTCTACGAACGCAAATTTTAAATCTGAGATTTGCCTGAAGCCTATTTGAGGGTTATATAAGGAGACGAGTTAGCAGAAAACTTCAGAAGGTATTAAAAACTTCGTAAGGTACAGAATGTAACTAAACATTTCGAAGAAAACAGAAGTCACGAGAAGGTGCCAGATGGTTACTTACAAGGATCAAAAAGAAAAAAAAACAATTTTGACTGTCACCAGTGGATAAGCTGGACTGATTCTTGCGGATAAGTGAGAAGCAAGCGAAAAAAGAAGAAGAAGCGATAGAAACTGAAACCAGTGAAATAAAATATTTCTTAATAATGGTCGAAATGCATTCCCGAAAAAGAATAAATTTATGGGGTCAAGTCGACTTTGGTGAACCCTGCCTATGCCTTCACTGTTTCAACTTTCAATTAAGTAGGTGCATCTTTTGTATATTTTTGAATTTAAAAAAAAAATATATATTTTTTTTTTTAAATTTCTGAATCTTTTTTAAAAGTCAATTTGTAGTTAACATTGTGTTATATTCCACGCTAATAGGAATATATACTTGAAAATCAAGGTGGATAAAATAAATAAAGGTTTATTGTACAAAACCAGTACAATAAGAATAAAGGTAACAGTTATGCAGAAGGTTGTTGCAAGTCAATCCAGTGCTACTATTAGAAGGTCGGTAGTTCCCGCGTAAGTCCGAGTCTTCCTAAACAGATCCCAGCTAGCCTACTACTTATAGTGTAGTCACTCATAGGGGTGATAGGTTATTCCATTACATCACTTTTCAATTTTTTTTTCGGTTATTAAAGGTTTGTTGAATAAGTTATATCTTTTTTATGAACTATATTTCTCTTCTTTTTTTTTTTTTAGTTTGTTATCTTGCCTTTTTATTGGCCGCACAAAACAAAATTTTTTTGTGCAAACTTTTTTGTAAAACTTGTATTTTGTTCGTTCGTTTGTTTTATGTTAATATACACATTTGTTTCTGTTATGGGACCTTACCCATAATAACATAATGGACTATTCCATACGTAATAAATACTGCGCCTCAAGAGGAAGCAGGGAGTTCAGCCTGAAGTCTGGTGTGAAGTCCGTCATGAGTCTGTCAGTTAGACAGAGCGATCGAGTCAGTCAGTCGAGTCAGAGGCAGCCCGAAACAGAGTCGCGTTCAGACAATTACTACTAAACCTGATTGTTCGTACTAACACTTTCTACTTCTCTGTATATATTCCTGTTTGTAATATATCTGTGTTATTCCATATATGTGTTCGAGTTCTTCTTTATTGGTTCTACCTTGGACCATCACCGTGGTACAAGGAACCGGACCATGACAGTTTCTTTCAAATTTGACATTGGAGTTTCCAGTTTTGTTTCGAGTTTCTCATGCGCCTTATTCAATATCCAAGACGGGAAAGGTGACGTTCTCACTGTAAACCGGAAATCCTTTTATAGTAAATGGATGGTAGAACAAGCTTTAAGGGAGATAACAAAAAGACAAAAATTAAGAGTTACAAAGGACTGGAAATTGTACAGAGCAATGATCGCCAACGTCCTCCTCCTCCTTCATAATAATAATAATAATAATAATAATTTTGGTTTATTTAAGACCTTGCGATTGCCAGTCGGCTGCGCTAACTCCGATCCCACACTTGATATTTATACCATTGTTAGCCTAGCAACCAGCTTTATACTTCAGAGAGTTCATTTATTAACCCTATCCGTTGTCAGTGGCACAGTAAACATACAGAGTGATACTACTGAGTGAAAAAATGTACACATTCGATGGAGAATAAAGAGAACAATAGCAAACATTTTTTTTTGTATCTGAGTCACGTGTGTAAAACTCGGTGGGGTTACGACGAAAGAAATGACGTTGATATTTGTGACCCCAGAATTTAGAGGATCCTATCAATTTCCCAAGAGAAAGAATAGACTTTACAAATATCCCCTCCCCCTGGAAATTCAATAAAGACCAGAAAAAACAAAAACAAAAACATCAACTGTCGTCAGTTTCTGCTTGATCCCTTTCACGTCTCTTGCAAACACACAGACACACAATTTTCGTCGGGATTTTGTACTTTATTTTACCACTCTCCAGATGTATATTGTTGTTTTAAATAAAATAAAATAAAATAAAAATCAGGGGGGGAGGTTGATATAATTATATACTAAATATACAAAATAATATATTATTATTTAGCGTTACTAATATTTTTATACGATTATTTATAAATTGTATTAATTTTCTCTTTTTAATTTTCCCGCCGCGGCCAGTGCTTGCTGGAAAACGCCGGTTGAGCAGATAATCGTCTGCAAAGATCCAGATTTTTCTGGAAGCATCTTTCTTTCTCTCAAGTCGCACGCACGCACGCATGCGCTAACAATAATACCGACACAGTGATACACGCTTACGCGATCATGTATCTTTCGATACATGACTTACGAGGCAAATTTTTTTTTCCATTAGTAGGTTGCCATCCAAGGTTATAGAACCCGATCTGTCCTGCTATTTACTCATAGCTGGGGAGAGAAGAATAGGATTCATACCTTTCCCAATGGTATTAGCACGAATGTAATGGATTCGACTGGAATTCGAACTCGGCTCTTCGAGCTGCTATCCATTACTCCATTTATCAGCTGTCCCACCTCTTTTAAGGCGTGTTGTCAAGCTAGTGAGAGACAGTTGTGCCCGATCGCTCTTACAACAAAAAATACCCATGCTTAGCACTTTATTCCCTCCGACATTAGCGGAAGAAAAAAACAATTCCCAAAATGTCACGCAAAATGATGATTTCAATGTTTACAATACCGTGACATTTGCTGTCATGTACCGTGATCTGGAGAAAGAATTTAGAGCCTTAGTTCTAAAACACTATTTATATTTACCGGCAAAATATCCTGTTGCCGTTCCCGGTACAATAGACACTAAAATAGTATTTTAGAACAAAGTGTAGAGGGGCCGTGGCTGTGATGTTGTGGAGTCAGATGTAGAAGAAACGCATGTAAGGTTCAGATTCTCCTGCTCGCCCGGCCCAACTACATAAAAAGGTTGGACTTTGATTAAGTCCAAAGAAGAAGGCAAAGAAAGCAAACAAAACACAAGACCGATAATATATGTATATACAAATATATATTAATAACAAGTTACAATACATGGAAACAGTACAAAGGACGAAGTGTGTGTGAATATTCTGTATGTGCGTGCTTGTGTGAATATTCTGTATGTGCGTGCGTGTGTGAATATTGTGCTTAGCGTGTTTCCATGCTATTCCTTGTTAGCGCCTACATTTCGAGGTTGATAGCTGAAAGCCTGAGGGAAAAAAGAGATTTATCTCCGGGTGTCGATGCGAAAGCCTGAGGAAAAAGAGAGAGAGAGGCGAAGGGTCAGCGGTTATTTATAGCCAGGGAAGAGAGACCCCTGGTGAAAGGGTTAACGAACTGAAGGAGGAGTTAACTCCGACAATAGAATATATTATATTTGAGATCGTCAACGTAGTGGTTGTGTGATCTGTATACGTAGGACATGAACAATGTAAATTCTGTGGTCTGTGACTGTTGCCATCAGTGGGTGCAACTGAAATGTTTTGGCAAGAAAACCATGCTTCAAAAAACCATGCTTCAAAAAGCAAGTTTGGGATTTGCAGAGACGGTTATGCCTGAAGTGCTTAGAATATTCAGAAACTTCTATATTTCTTTTAATAACTGATGATGAATAAATGATTTTAACTTCTGTTTTAACAATTGATAGCAGAAAAGATTTTAAATTGTCTATTTTACCGGGCCTTGGTTTCTATTTTACCGAGTCCGGCAAAATAGTCTATTCGTTTTAAAAAAGTAAAACATTAATCTTCCACTCCCATAGTGAAAATGACGTGTAAAATCTTACTCACAGGCCCACTGACTTAAAGGCGAGGCTCACCCACTCAGCACACTCTGGCGATGGGTCTGACAATGCTTTGAAATATGGGATATTTAAGAAACGTTGCCTGTTTTGGCACAAGGCCATAATAGTGTAACCCAATGAAAATGAATCTCACTAGCGAGTACATACTTGTAATTTTTTTCTACTCGCATTCTGAAGACATTAGTTAAATATGTATGTTCCCCTTCCGCTCGAATAGCATGTAATTAAAACATTTTATTTATTTCTCAAGAGAAAATTGAGATGCTATGTTATTAAGTTTCCCTTAATTAATCCACAATGTTATGCAAGGTCAAATAAATTTTTTAAAAATCCTCTACATTTCACGTTTCATTGTGTCAAAGCGTTTAAAATAACGCTCTATTGAACTCTCTCTGTGGCCTGGTATTGAACTCACAACGCTTTAGGTCTAGACACTGGATTTAACCAATATCTTTATCCACTGGACCATGTGTCCTTGAGGACACTTGGCTCAGTGGATAAAGTTCAATACCAGATCACAGCAGTGGTGAACCAAAAAACTTGGAGAGCTTAGTTAAAGGAAAATAACTGAGACATCCGGAAGAGGCATGACACGTAGAACTAGAACAATTTACCCCGGTGGACAAAATAATGGGTTCGGTTCGAAATTCCAATCACCTGAAGAAGACCGGACAGTACAGCGGTCGAAAATAAGGATAACAGCCCGAGTAATGTAAATGATTCAAGTAATGAATTTTTACAAGAATGGTTTCATCTTTTTAAAATTTTAGAATAATGTTAGAATAATTTATAAAGTTTTAAATCTTTTAAAATTCTGTATCAATCTGAAACGGTTAGATATTATTGTTATGAAGTAAAAGCTATATTTAGCCCCATAGAAAAAAAAATCCCAAACATAAGTCTATCGAGATAGTTTTAAACATCTCATAAAAATGCCCACCTCAGTGTTAAAAATGTTTTTCTGTGATATTTTAAACTAAAAGTAATATTTGTTTCAAATCAAATTAATTAAACTTTAAATTATCTAATCTCCGCAAATAAAGCTTCAGAAAACTATATTTTATTTTTGAAAGATTTTTTAATAAGGCGAATTACATTGTTCTGACAGATGTGTAAATATAGCCAAAATCATCAATTTTTAGCGATTTCAAAAAAGATAATCATAAAACTTAAGACTCCATTCCTACTCAAGAATAGGAAAACGTGTTTTTGGAGGACTTGGCCAGTCATGGCGTCATAAAAAAAAGTCTCTTGACCGAAGTTGTTTTAATGATGTTTTTATTCTGTTTTTTTTTTTTAATTTTATTATTTGATCCTTTCATAAAATTAAATTTTTAATTATCTATTACCCTACTGTAAACACTTTTGTTTTGATCTTAAATCTATATTTTTGCTGTTCGTTTCTGCTTATTTTCTGCAAACAGGCCTACCGATTCTCCCGCTAACACGTGTTTTTCTTAGCCTCAACTATGACAATGTTTTATAACTGAACTGTATAATTTGTCTAAAAACATTACTGCCATTAATTTCCAACATGAATCAGAAAACTTTATTTTCCCTTTTTATTTTCCCGAAATATTAGCTTCTAAAACTTCTGTATACGTTTGTAGCAATACGAAATCTCACATATCCTTAGGAGATGAATAGATTCTTTTCCTTTTTAACTCAATTTAATGACCAGCGTTTTTCAGGATTCTTGTCTCCAGCCCACCTTTGAACTGTCAAATATAAAATTTTGTTAGTGCTTTTAACGTAAAAGTAGGGTCATTTGAAACACTGACCACCCAAAACCTGTCTGGGTGGTCCCCCTTCCTGGTTGGTGGAACACGAGTGGACGGAAAGGGATACTTGATTCCCCAGCCAGTATCCATATAATGAATCGGACAATGAATGAAGGGTAGTCAGTGAAACGGCCAGGTAGTGCGTCTGTAGGGGTTCTTTTCCGTGGCTGGAACTTAGTGTGAGATCAGTTAGAAAAAGTTCGCTTTCTCGTAGCAGAAGGAAGACATTGCCGACGAAGTCAAAAATCGTATTTTTCTTTTTTTTTGCTACTTCCCGACACAACATTTGTCTTGAAAAGCGTTTGTCGCTATTATTTTGTGGACGGTGATCACAGCCCTAAAATTGGTTATTCAGGCGAATCTGTAGCGGACCGTAGCGGTGATGATGAGTATGTAAAACACACGTGGGTAGAAATTTTCCTGCTAGCCGGTCCAACTACATGAGAAAGTTGGACTTTAATTAAGTCCAAAGAAGGCAAAGAAAAACAAACACAAGACCAATAAATATATGTAAACAAATATATGTATTAATAACAAGAAAGGTTACAAGTTACATGGACAGTTACATGGACAGAGTGTGTGTGGTGAATATTATGAGTGTTGTGGTGAGTGTTCGTACGTACGTGTATTGTTCTTAGCGTGTTCCCAGCATTTGGGAAACGCTGTATCTGTGAGCATTCACAGCTGTGAGGTGGTAAGGCCCGAGGAAAAAGAGATCGATGCGAAGGGTCAGCCGGTATTTATAGCCAGGGGAGAGAGACCCCTGGTGAAGGGTTAAGGAGTTGAGGAGGAGCTAACTCCGACAAATCTGTGTAACATAGCGAGCGCCTTTGTATTCGCATACATCCGACCTTGGGTGTCTTCACAGCTGGTGCATTGAGGTGCATTTTAGATGCAGGAAAAAAATCTGCAGGTCTCATTCCCCCCAAAATATGTACAAATTAATTAAAAGCAAAATGGCACGGTAGAGAAATGGATTGCAGCTCGGATTGAGAAATCGCAGAGGCGAGTTCGAATTTCAGTTAAGTTAATTACATTCACTTACGTGCTAATAACCTTGGGAAAGGTATGAACCCAACTCTTGTATAGTCTAGGGTGGCAACCAGTCTAGGAAAAGGAAAACTCTGCATTCAAAACTGTATGTAGCCCTGTTGCACCTAAGGAGAGGGTCGTTCGCAATGACTCGATGATTCCGACTACGGTCGATTCCTTTAAAAGCACCCCCCCTCAAAAAAAAATAAATAAAAGAAGAAAAATATATATTTCAAATAAAAAAGGGGTTTACATCTGGATAATAGATCGAAAAAATAAAAGCAAAAATCATTTTATGATAGGATCAAATAAAAACTACAGATTTAGGAACCTTTAAAATTAAATATTTAGTTTAGCCCTCTCCTTCCACTTTTAACATCTGATCTAGCCCTAGGCGTTTTTATTTATTCATTTTCTGGTGCCGCGCATGACCCATGGAGGGGGGTGTCTCATGCTAAGTACCCACCCCACTACTTTGTGATTTCTTTATTATTTCTTTGGGAATGTACCATTTAATTGATCCTAATTCATGGAGAAATATAATAAGCTGAAAACAGCAAATGTGTTACTGTGGCATGTGAGTGGTTCTTTTGTGTAAAGAACAGTACTGGGTCGTATAAGAAACCCGTTATGTGTACATTTACTTTAACCCCATTATCAGCCTTTGTGGATGACCTGTCTGTCTGTCTGTCTGTCTCTCTCTCTCTCTTAAAAAAAATGAAGAGAAAATAAATATCTATAGTACAGTCGCAATTTTTTGCTGTGTTGTCCATTAAGCCAATTGAGACGTCAGATATATCGAGGTAAAACTACAGTCCTAAGTCGGGTCTCTGCACATTGTTTTGGCATCTTTTCGAACACCATTCAAAAAAAAAAAAAAAGAATATATCTTCGTAGCAGCAGTTTTCAATATTCTGTCATTTTATATCCTTTACCGCTTGTGGTTAGGTTTTGGTTAGCTAGGGTTAAATCGGGATTAGTAGGAATTTGTTATAACTATTTATTTGTAGCTGTATGTAATCTCTTATGGATGGCTATCCATATTATCAATTGATTTGTTGGTGAGATTTTCACCTTACTATTCAACGATTGTAAATCGTGTATGGGAGCAATTCACTTAATACGGATTGCTATGTGTTAACCATCATCTTAAATGACAGTGAATGCTGGACAATCTCACCATCTTCATATAAATTAGCTACTCCAGATCACGATTCGCTATATATATATATATATATATATATATATATAATGGAGTAAATAAGATGGAGAAGGAATCCATCTTGTAAATTCATTGTAATGTAAATCGATCCCTCTACGTAAACCCTTCCTTACCAAAATAAGCCCATACGATGTGATTTATTCAAATGTAAAAAATAAAATAATTGGATGAAATAATATTTTCAGATGAATTAATAGAGATTAATTTATAATTTTTGGGGGTGAATTAATATTTACGATAATTAACTTTACATTATTTGTGTTTGAATTGACAGAAAAGATCCAAATAATATTTTTTAATTCATAATCTGGAGTTTTTAATCGATAATAATATATAAATAATCTTACGACTGATTAAGATCTCCAGATTACAAATTTCAAATATATATTTATTTTTTATATATAAATGTTGTAGGGGCGAATTTATTTTGGCTTAGAGCTGGATTGCTGTGTGATATCCATTCTTTCATATGCCATTGAATGCAAAAAGAATACTTAGAATCAGGAAGAACAGTTGAAATTCCTTGGACGCATAACGAGGAAGGAGGACTTGGAAAATTTAACCCCCACGGGGTATATTGAGAACAAGAGAGATAGGGGAAGGCAGCGAGCCATTTCATCATTTATCTGAGGGAGCTTGTGTGAGTGGGCAGCGGAACGGTCGGACGGGGCCTTAGCAAAAGGGAAAAAAACTGCTAAGGGCCACAAGAGGTAGAAAATTGTGGAGAGCTATGAACGTCTATGTCCTGAATGGACAAGGCCCTTAGAAGAAGAATCTGACTTTCCATGACCCACTTTGTTCTTACACGCCATGAAAATGTATAATGTAAAAGGAGGTTCCTTGTATAGATTTATTTGGCTTGATATAAATTTAATTTCCCTTGAAAAAAAAGAAAAAAAACAAACAATAATGACCAGCAGTTTTTGCTTGATCTCTTTCTCGTCTCTTGCAAACACACAGACACAATTTTCATCGAGATTTTTTGTACTTTATTTTACATGAGGGTTCATAAGGTGGTCTACGGATTTGTATATTGTTGTTTGTTTTAAATAAAACAAAAATCAGGTCGAGGTATAAATATACTAAAATTATTACTAATTATATAGATTTAATTAATAGATTGAAATGTTACTGATAGTTGATTCGATTAATTTTCTGTTTGTAAATTTCCCGCTGTGGCCAGTGCTTGCTGGAAAAAGGCGGTTGAACGAAGAATCACCTGCAAAGATCCAGATTTTTCTAGAAACGTCTCTTTTTCTCTCACACACGCAAATTTTGTTTGGGAAACAGTAACACATGTAGAGGTTGAAGCAGAATATTGATTTTTACGTTAAAAAAATGAATGAACACTTAACTGCCTTGTAAAGTTGCAGTACGCGGAAACAGAGAGAGAGGAAGAAAGAGCACGAGAGAGAAACACGTCCTTCTTTGTAGCAAGCAGAGAGAGAGAGAGAGAGAGAGAGGAAGAGAGAGAGAGAGAGAGAGAGCAAAGTGGGGGGGACTGCTAATAGCCACAAGTAGTGGAAAATTGTGGAGAGCTATGATCGTCTATGCCCTAAAGGGACGAAGCCCATAGAAGAAGAAGAAGAAGAAGAAGAAGAAGACAGCCCCCTCCCCACTTTGTTCTTACACGCTATGAAAATGTGTAATGCAAACGGAGGTTCTTTCTAAAGTTTTATTTGACCTGATATAACTTTATATAGAGTAATTATGCGCAATTTCATAGCAGAAAAATAGCATTAGGATTTTCTTGTGAGAAGTAAGTGTTTTTCAGAGGCACATATGCAATTAATGTTTCAAGAATACAAGTGGTGATAGATTGTAAACCTATATTCACTAGTGAGATTTCTTCACTACGCTATACATTTACGACCTTGAGCAAAAACCGTTTACTAAGTGAGACATCTTTCAAGGCTGCCACACAGGACAAAAACAAACACGCGATTTTATTAAATTTATTTAATGCTGTCTGGTTATGTGAATAGATTCCCTTTTACCTAAATCTTTCGCCGTATTGACAAACATAAATTTATATATAATATATTATAAACACTGTAGCCTTTAGTAAGAGAAATCTTGAATTTGTTGTTAGTACTGGTAAAGTATTTTTAGTTGCAACAAAGTACTGAACTGTTATGTAATATCAGTCATCCGATATGGCAGTGAGTGCTGGACGATCTCCTCACAGACGAGGAAGAGACTTCTATAAATCAAATTTCTAAATATATTGCAGTATCTTCTAGAAACAATATTTTATCTCAATATAAAATTATGCGAATTCCGTTAGTCCGTCCGACACACCCTCTAAAATAGCCATACAAGGACCGATCGAAACCAAATTTTGGAGAGAAGTGCAAACAGGAAAGTGGGGTACAAAGTACAGTTGGTTTTACTAGGTTGCGTAGCTTAGTAAAATAAATTTTCATTATTTTTCTTGGAAAAATTAAAAGTAACAAAATACTCACACTATTTTAAAAACAATTTATTTTGGTTTGCGAAATTGAACGAAGCGTAGAGTTTTTAAATCACGACAAAAGTTAGCGATATTTTCAGCAATACGAAATACCGATTTCAACATGCGTCAGAGTGCTGCAAAAAATTCTAGTTTATTAAATTTGACACTCAGAGGACATAAGTCAAGGGAGACAAAGGAAATCAGTTTATAGTCTATGTAACAAGTTTGTGTAAATGGTTGGCAGAATGGGGTTATGAGGAGATAGCAAAACCAAAAAGACAAAATTTACCAAGAGCTACAAAGGACAGGAAATAGTGAAGAGTCATGATTACTCAATGTCCTGAAGATACACAGCACATAGAGGAAGAAGAAGTTGCTAAGTTATATTCTCATGAATTAGGAATATTCAAATATTCGCTAAAAAAAACATATCCTGATGAAAAAAAAAGCCCTAAACTTGATCAAAAATTGTTTGTCTAAATGTTTATGTCATTATTAAGAGGAAAAACCAAAGTATTTTTTAAAATTTTTATATTCCTTTCTAGCACGTCCGAAATTTTTAGCTAAATATCTTTTTTTTTTTGAGTCATCAAAATTTACGTAAAATCAATCATGTCAGCCATTATTGACAGTTTTGTAAACAAAAGTGAAATTCCCCGTTTAAAACTCTTGTAAAATTCAATTATACTTTTTTCAAAAGTTATTTTAGGAAAATTAGAAAATTTAATGTATACTTAATGTAATTTGAAAGAAACATTACTTACTTTTTTAGCAGAATTTATAAAATTAAAAAGATAATTAAAAAATACTCTGATCTTTCCTCTTATTAATAAACTTTTTCGCGATATAACATTCTTTTTATTAGGTTTGTGGCCTTTTTCAACAGGGTATGCCACTTTTTAGCGAAAAAGTGGACATTCCTACATGAATTGAGTAAACTGCATCATCAGATCTTTTCTTTTTCATAGAGAACAATATATATATATATATATATATATATATATATATATATATATATTTCAATTTCCTAAGCAACCTCCAGCAAGTAGATGTACCACTTTTTCTGTGGGTCTCTACCACGAGTGGATCTTGGGCCTTGCATATAGGGTGAACCGTGAACATCATTGTAAAAACATGTAAAAAAATAATAAAACTTTAAAAAAACACGTATATATTCATTATGTATCATGCATCTTTTGAAGCTAATTTTTAGGGGGTCGTATAATAGATGCGATATAATATTATTATTAGCCTATGTACTGCTGGCTCTGTGTACGCCTTTGGCCAAACTATATCCATTACTCATACTGTGTAGTCAAACTCAAAAGTAAAGCTGTATTTAAAATAAACATGATTTTGAATACAGTTAAGTAAAACATCACTTTTGAGGGTTAAAAAACTGATTTTTTACTTACTTAACTGTATCCAATAATAATGCATGTAATATTCACATATTAATATCGTATTATAAAATATAAACATAGCGAATATGCATCTTTTTCATTGTTCACGTTTAGCTGTTTCTCGTTTGGTTGTTTATGGCTGTACGCGTTTACACGCAACGAGTATAGCATTACTAACAATACTTTATCATTCTCTTTTACTTTTTAACTAGAAGACGGGATAAAGAAATAGAGGAAAAGACGTTTTAGTCTATATTGTAAATTGGTCTCTCTCAAAAAAAAAAAAAAATGGTAAATTTTTATTTTAACACCCGAGCGCTAATATCGCTTCAATTTTTTCCAAAATAGTCTTATTTCCGTGCAAATGTATATACTGAACTCAAATCAACAATTAGATATTGAAGAAACCTACCTTTTTGGATGTTAACCACCCGAAAAAATCGGACTTTTTCCTGGTCTTTCGTCATCCATTACCGGCTTATTGATAAGTAATTCAGTGCTGAATTTTGTTGGTGGACGTATACAATTTGGGCCTATTTACTTCCTTCACAGTAATTCCTTATAGAAATTAATACGCGTTTCCGTAAAGCAATTTTTTTTGTACTTAATTTAAGAAGAAATTTAACTTTCAAATATATGTAAACATCGACAAATAAAGGAATAACAAAGTAATTTTTATTTTTAAGAAGAAAGTTAACTTTCAAATTAGGGTTAGGTGTTTTTTTTTATTTTATTATTATTCTTTTATTTGTCGATGCTTACATTATTTGAAAGTTAACTTTCTTCTTAAATTAAGTACAAAAAATCGCTTTACGGAAGCGCGTACTAATTTCTGAAAGAAAATAGTTCAGCAGTGAATGACGCTCGGGTGTTAAAATGAAAATTTACCAAAAAAGGAACTAGAGTATGATACACAAGGAACATGATAAATTCATTTCTTTATAAGTGAAAATTTGGAGGTCGCACAATACGGTTAAGCACACGTGGTTACCTGCTCAGCTTCAAAAGCGGATATGTTTATCCAAAATAAGGGCGGATTTCAAAAGAAGGGCTCGTTAAACACCACAAATAGTTTTCAGCAGAGAAGGTTAGTATTTACTACTTTTTTTTTTTTTTTTGCACACCAAATATTTCGTTATCTGCTCTCATATTCCAGGAATACTTTTTTTTTTTTTAATAAAAATGATCCCAATTTTTTTACCAATAAAACTTGCAGAAAAATAAAGAAAAAAAGATGCATGGCACGTTGAACTAGAACAATCTAACCCGGTGGACGAAATAAAGGGTTCAGTTCAAAATTCCAATCACCTGAAGAAGACCGGAGCGTATAACGGCTGAAACGTCGGGAACACTAGGACAACAGCCCGAATAATATTAATAATGTCAAAACATATATAAACAAAAAAAAAAAAAATGACCTTACCGCTTTTGAATAATTATAAGTTTTGAAAAAAAAAATGAGATATTTATTTTGTTTTTACTGTGGACCATGTTCAAAAAAAAAAAAAAAAAAAAAAAAAACCAAGGTGAGAAGACATTTCTGTATTTGGTGTGCAAAAATAAATTGTTTTCGGCGCAAAAGTCGACAAAACTCGAAAAGTATATTAAAAAAAAATTAACAAAAAAAACTTTCAAATATTTTGCCAAGAAGATTGAATTTTTTTTATGCTTAAGTTTTTTGCATAATAAACAGTAATAAGAAGAAAAAAAAGTAATACTTAACTTACCGTTGTAAAGAAAAAACATCATCACAGAGGCAGGTTGCAGTGAAATGCTCAAAATCCGTGAAGCATGAATTAGTTTGTGTAAAAATAAACTGACATCAGACTGTGTGTATCGTTTAGCGATCAAAGTTGTTAAATGTGAATAGAAATCGTGTTTTTTTAAATGAATACACAGACACGGAATTATAGAACAAAATACCATTTTTAATGCAAAAAGTTATGTTTAGTTGAATATTGAATACATTTACAACATCGAAAAAAATATGCAGTTAAAATAGAGGATGTGAGGAGGACTGAAGATTTCTCGGTCCGACCAAGAAACACTTCTGTTTAAAAAATTTTTTAAAATTATTATTTGGTCTGATATGATGAGGAAGTGGGTTGGGTCGAGAACTTTTCAGCACACGTATTTCTTTACAAAAATCTAGATGACAAAACAATTCTAAATTATTACAAAAAATAAAAAAAATAAAATAAAAAATAAAAATAATAAAAGTAAACGTAATTGTATTATTACACAGTCCTCATCTCATTCAAAGAGGACAGTATTTTTTTTTCAAGTTCTTTTCAAAGGTAAAATGAGCTACATTTTTTTAGTCTCTCTACCTTTACGTCACGTAATTTTTTTTTCTTAGGTTTTCAAAAGAGGCATGTTTTTTTCTAAAAATACAACTCCCAAAAAGTGAACGAAACATAAAAAGTTCATTTCTTGGATTTTTTTTTCTTCTGTAAATGTTTTTTTGTTTCATTCCATTTCAATTGGAATCAAACGTTCTGGTTTCGGAGCGATCGCTTCGGGTGCAGGTGCTTCAATATGAAGAACTCCATCTTTAGTTAACATCGACTTGAGTTTAGCAGGGTCCACACTTTTCGGCAGGCTATACTGTTTGCTGAATTCCCTAAACACTTTCTTGTCTGGCGTATTTTCTTCGTGTTTAGCGTGAACGTAGAGAACATTCTCTTTGGTTTTTACTTCGATTTCGTCGGGTTTGAAATTGCTGACATCAAAACGAAGGGCCAGTTTCTTGTTACCACCGCTGTCGGTGACGATGGGGCTTTCCACTTTAAGTAAACTGGATTGCATTGTCTCAGTGTCGATTGGCGCCAGTTGAAACAGATTATTTTGGATATGACCCAGTTCTGAGTCGAAGGCTTTAAATTCTTCTTCCATGTCACGGTACATGTCGGCAAATAGGCTTCTCTGCCTTTCGAAAAAGCCCCATGGCATCGTAAACATTGGAATCATCATCTCGCGAGACATTTTTGGGAATGTTATTTTCTTCCGCTAACGTCGAAGAGAATAAAGTGCTATGCACGAGTCACTGTTTGTTGTAGGAGCGATCGGGCACAACTGTCTCTCACTGGCTTGACACACGCCTTAAAAGAGGCGGGACAGCTGATAAATTAGGTCACGTGTGTCCGTATTATTGTTAGTGTGTGTGATCAGCGTGTGTGTGTGTTTGTTATGTGTGTGTGTGTGTGTGTGTGTGTGTGCCTGCGCGCGCACTCGCGTTTTCAGAGAAAAAGAGACACTTCCAGAAAAATCTGTAACTGTGCTGGTTTTCTCTCTTCAACTGCCGTTCTCCAGCAAGTACTGGATTCAGCAGCTGGAAATTTATAAACAGAAAATTAATCGTATCAACTATCAGTAACATTTAAATCTATTAATTAAATCTGTGTAATTAATAATTATTTTAGTATATTTATACCTCGATCTGATTTTTATTTTAAAACAAACAACAAATCCGTAGGCCATCGTATGAACCCTCAAGTAAAATGAAGTACAAAAAATCCCAATGAAAATTGTGTCCGTGTGTTTGCAAGAGTCGAGAGAGAGATCAAGCAAAAACTGGGGACAGATAGCGTTATTTTTTTCGGGTTATTACTGTTTTTTTTTTTTTCTTTTTTCAAGGGAAAATATATTTGTTAAGTCAATTGGTTTTTTTTTTTTTTGGTTTTTTTCAATTAATTAGTTTTTTTTTTTTTTTCGCAAACATGGATTGGTGTGTCAAAAAAAGGACGAGAGAGAGCTAATAATTTAGGTCACGTGTGTCGGTATTATTGTTAGTGCGTGTGCATGTGTGTGTGTGTGTGTGCGTGCGTGTGTGCGCGTGAATGTGTGTATGTGTGTGTGTCTTGAGAGAAAGAGAGAAACGTTTCCAGAAAAATCTGGATCTTAGCAGGTGTTTCTCCATTCAACCGGCCCTCTCCAGCAAGCACTGGCCGCAGCGGGAAATTTACAAACAGAAAATTAAACCGTATCAACTATCAGTAACATTTAAATCTATTTAATTAAAAATCTATATAATTAATCTATTAATAATTAATAATTTGTTTATACCTCCACCTGAATTTATATTTTTTAACACAAAGAACAATAAATCAAATCCGTAGGCCACATGAACAACTCATGTAAAATAAAGTTCAAAGTCGCAAAGAAAATTGTGTCTGTGTGTTTGCAAGAGACGAGAAAGAGATCAAGCAAAAGAAACTGAGAACAGAGCGTTATTTTGTTCTGCTCATTACTTTTTGTTCTTTTACTTTTTTATTCAAGGGAAAATAAATTTGTTAAGAAGTCGATTCTTTCTTTCGGGAAATTGATAGGGTTCTATAAATTCTGTGATCACGTGTATAATCTATAATTTTTTTCGTCGTGGCCCCACATGTGTGATTGAGATACAAAAAAGAGGAGAATATTTTTTATTGTTCTCCAACGACTATACACGTTTCATTCAGTAGTTTCACTCTGTGTGTGTGTGTTTGTTTTTTTTGTTTGTTTTTTTTTTACTGTGTCACTGACAGTGGTTAATGAATAATCTCTCCAAAGTATAAAGCTGGTTGCTAGGTTAACAACTATGTTATAATTGCAGTAAGTGTGTGATCGTAGCCAAATGACAGCCGTACACATGAATCATAAATGTCAGAAAAAAAAAAAATGTCAATAATTGTCAAAAGTTGATAATCTTCTTCGTGTACTCCCGGTTTGGGAGCATACGAAGATTATCAACTTTTGTTTGACAAGTAAAAGATTTTTTTTTCCATTTAAAAAAAAAAAAATTTAAAACATAAAACAAAAATCGTTAAAAATTATTTTCATATTTTTATTCCTTTTTAAATTTTTATTTTTTCTCCCTGACTTTTTTTTAGTCATTGGTATTTTGGTGGGATAAGTGTCATGGGACAGAAACTTGGTGGAAGATTAACTATTTTATTTATTTACTTGTACAAAGGATTATTCTTCACACAATAGTAACATTTTTTTACCGGTGTGTCAAAACTAAAACGACAGTTTTTTAAACACGAGCCGCTTTTTTTAAATTACCTTCATTCTTTATCTTACAGAAATGTTTTTTTTTATTGTTTTAAAAAGCGATTATTAGAATTAATAATAAAACTTAAACATATGAAAGTGAATGTTTTTATATACATTTTCTTTGTTCTTGAGAATTGACAACAAAAATAATAAACACTATTTATTTATTACATACTATTTATTTTTTACACTATTGGAATGGTTGGCAAACATCAGCTAATTGCCATTTGATTCAAACTTTAAATGGTAAATATTAAAGATTTTGGTTTACATATTTTAATAATTTAGTAAATATGAATAAAAAATTGCTTTCATATTTATTTCTTTATAAATTTGTCGCAGTGTCCCCAAACACCACTCCCACCTTTTCTTAAACAACCCCGGATATGTCTGCCGGTAGAGAAAGGTCACGACCCTTGTGTGCTAAAAATAGCAACGACATCCTTTCAAACTGACAGAAACACACAAAACTCAATTTTCGCCGCTAAACAAAAATAAAAGACCTTTAATTTCGAACGGAAATTAATTTAAATACAGTCAACAAACACCGAACACACCTTTGACTGTAATTAATACGGCCCAAAATTAATTATTTTCATTTACTTGTTTAGCGTCACCGCTTCTCTTGTAGGAACGGTCATATGTAGATGCCCGAGACTTCGCACCGGTTTTTAGACTTTCGCTGCGACCATGGCAAAGTTTGGACCATATCAGGACCTGCTAAGGCAAGCCAAGACCAGAACTTGACTAAGCTTTGACCAGCTTGGACATGTTATGACCAATCTTTGACCAGTGACCCTATGCGGTAACGCTTGGGTTTTTCCCACGAAAAACGACCTTGTGTCACGTCTTGACCCCGTGGGAGTCAAGTAATCCCACGAAAAACGACCTTGTGTCACATCTTGACCTCGTGGGAGTCAAGTAAATACCGCCGGCCTTCGGGTTGGGCTGCGACCATGGCAAAGTCTAGTTTGGACCATATCAGGACCTGCTTAGACAAGCCAAGACCAATTTGGACCAGAACTTGACTAAGCTTTGACCAGCTTGGACATCTTATGACCAAAACATTGACTAAGCCTTGACCAGCTTGGACATGTTATGACCAATCTTTGACCAGTGACCCTATGCGGAAACGCTCGGGTTTTTCCCACGAAAAACGACCTTGTGTCACGTCTTGACCTCGTGGGTGTCAAGTAATCCCACGAAAAACGACCTTGTGTCACATCTTGACCTCGTGGGAGTCAAGTAAATACCGCAGGCCACGGAAGCAGCCCGGCCTTCGGGTTGGGCTGCGACCATGGCAAAGTCTAGTTTGGACCATATCAGGACCTGCTAAGACAAGCCAAGACCAATTTGGACCAGAACTTGACTAAGCTTTGACCATCTTGGACATCTTATGACCAAAACTTTGACTAAGCCTTGACCAGCTTGGACATGTTATGAGCAATCTTTTACCAGTGACCCTATGCGGAAACGCTCGGGTTTTTCCCACGAAAAACGACCTTGTGTCACGTCTTGACCCCGTGGGCGTCAAGTAATCCCACGAAACACGACCTTGTGTCACATCTTGACCTCGTGGGAGTCAAGTAAATACCGCCGGCCACGGAAGCAGCCCGGCCTTCGGGTTGGGCTGCGACCATGGCAAAGTCTAGTTTGGACCATATCAGGACCTGCTAAGACAAGCCAAGACCAATTTGGACCAGAACTTGACTAAGCTTTGACCAGCTTGGACATGTTATGACCAAAACTTTGACTAAGCCTTGACCAGCTTGGACATGTTATGACCAATCTTTGACCAGTGACCCTATGCGGAAACGCTCGGGTTTTTCCCACGAAAAACGACCTTGTGTCACGTCTTGACCTCGTGGGAGTCAAGTAATCCCACGAAAAACGACCTTGTGTCACATCTTGACCTCGTGGGAGTCAAGTAAATACCGCCGGCCACGGAAGCAGCCCGGCCTTCGGGTTGGGCTGCGACCATCGCAAAGTCTAGTTTAAACCATATCAGGACCTGCTAAGACAAGCCAAGACCAATTTGGACCAGAACTTGACTAAGCTTTGACCAGCTTGGACATCTTATGACCAAAACATTGACTAAGCCTTGACCAGCTTGGACATGTTATGACCAATCTTTGACCAGTGACCCTATGCGGAAACGCTCGGGTTTTTCCCACGAAAAACGACCTTGTGTCACGTCTTGACCTCGTGGGTGTCAAGTAATCCCACGAAAAACGACCTTGTGTCACATCTTGACCTCGTGGGAGTCAAGTAAATACCGCAGGCCACGGAAGCAGCCCGGCCTTCGGGTTGGGCTGCGACCATGGCAAAGTCTAGTTTGGACCATATCAGGACCTGCTAAGACAAGCCAAGACCAATTTGGACCAGAACTTGACTAAGCTTTGACCATCTTGGACATGTTATGACCAAAACTTTGACTAAGCCTTGACCAGCTTGGACATGTTATGAGCAATCTTTTACCAGTGACCCTATGCGGAAACGCTCGGGTTTTTCCCACGAAAAACGACCTTGTGTCACGTCTTGACCCCGTGGGCGTCAAGTAATCCCACGAAAAACGACCTTGTGTCACATCTTGACCTCATGGGAGTCAAGTAAATACCGCCGGCCGGGGAGCAGGAAGCCTTCCTGATTCGCGACTTTGACGCGCCCAGTCAAGTCGACCAAGCCCAGCAGCTGACGGGACCCAGCAGCAGTAGCAGCAGTTGTTCAAACAGTCCTTTTCATGGCTAATTTCCGAAAGCTCCACTCACTTCACTCTTTGCTTCTGCCTTCCCTCTGCGACGCCAGCTCACTCCTGCAGCATCCAACTCACTCCTGTAGCTTCCAGCTCACTCCTGCAGCTTCCAGCTCAC